CGATTGTAGAACCAAGCAATGTGAATTCCTTGACAACCTCAATCTGCTGAAAAGGGACAAGGTTGTATTCACTTCTTGGCCACAGCCAGCTACCCAGAGGGACTGAGTAGTTGGACCTGATGGGCTCGGGGCCATAGTTGCAGGGGACATCAAGCTCAATTGGCATAACATACCACACAGAAACGTTGTTCCACATCTGTGGTGGTTAAATTTGTGTGTCAACTTGCCTGGGCCTGGTTGAGTAGTTGAGCAGCTGGTGGTAGTTATTCCCCATGATGAGACTGGCAGTCAACTCCATGGTGGGATCTACCACAAGCAGCTGAGGAGCTGCCTTTGGGATGTGGTCTGCTTATATAAGGAGAAGCCTTGGACACTGCATGTAGCGTGTCATTGTTCAGCAGCCTGCCATGCTCTGCCGACCTTGGGACTTGCAATGGACTTAAATTAATGGCTTGCCGTGTGGTTTGGTAACATCAGGACTGTGCCTTTTTACTTGTCAACCTTGGGTTTGTCAGCCTCAGCAGCTAGCAGCTGTTGAGTGAAGAAAAAGCCTCTAGCTCCAGTGGGCTGGGGGGAGGAGGCAGAGCTGGACCCCAAGGTTGAGGGGCTTTCACCCAGCCCCTAGAGCCTGGCACTTTGAACTTGGACTTACAGCCTGTAAATTGTAAGAGAATAAACTCCTGTTTGTTGAGGCCATCCCATTTGTGTTATATTGCTGTCAGAGTGGCACTAGGTAATCAGTACAATATCCTGCGTTGGTGACTGGGATCTTAAAAACTTGCAAGCGGCCATCTAGATGTAATGATGGGTCTCTTCTCGTCCAGAGCAAAGAAGAATGAAGAAAACCAAAGAAGCACAGAAACAATTCGTCCAAACAACTGCTATACCATGTGATCCTCAGCCTATACAACTGTGAGACCAGAAGAACTAGATGGTGCCCAGCTACCACTGTCAGCCACTTGGAGGAGAATCTGTGTAGGAGATCCTGGATAGAGAGGGAGAACAATGTGGAACAAAACTCAATCATTTAAAAAAAAAAAAAAAAAAAGGGACCAGATTTGCTGGTCTGATAGAGCCTGGTGGAACCTCTGAGACTATGGCCCCTAGCTGCCCTTCAGGTCTGGAATTGAACCCACACCTGTGGCTTCCAGTTAAACAAAAGACAGGCATATGAGCTGAACATTAGGTAGATACACTCCTTGGAGAGATCAATCACGGGAGAATAGAAGGGCTGTGTATGCACAGGGAGACAGCTCAGGGGGCAGGACAGTGTGGGAGAGAAGGACACAGGGAAGAGGTGGCTATGGAGAGGAAGTGGGAGGAGATCTGTTGCATTGTGGGAGATTGCAGTCATGAGAGAAAGTGTGTGTGAGCTGCTGTATGGAAAGTGAATTTGCTCTGTAAACTTTCACCCAAATTTCAATAACAATTAAAAAAAAGTTATAAATCAGTATCTTGTTCTGTTATTTAACATTTCCTCACAATCCAAGGAGAAGATGGATGAAGGAAAAACTAGAGAAAGGAAAAAGTGAAGGCCCCATTGTGAGCTTTGCCAGCTCCCCTTTGAGGTTGGAAATGGTGATGGAATTAGGGCTTCCTGTCACTCCACGCCTCATTAAGGAATTTAGAAAATGAACTATTTAGTCACATACAGAAGTGGCATACAAGGCTTTGTAATCTTTGCAAATTAAATCTAACCCAGCCAGGCCCACTGCTGTGGAGCTCATAATAACCATATAGGGCAGAGTGGAACTGCCCGTAGAGTTCCCAAGGCTGTAAATCTTTACAGAAGCAGATTGTTATATCTTTCTCCCACGGAGTGGCTGGTGGATTTGAACCACTTACCTCTTGATTAGCATCTGAGCGCTCAACCAGTGCACCACCAGGGTTCCTTCTTTGCAAGTTGGTGACAGAAAATTGAAACCAGCTGTCCACGTTTATGGTGCCATCTGGTGATGGTAGGTGATACTACAACTTCAGTTCTAAATGGATCCGAATTCATCTTGCAAAATCTATTTCCTGTTGAGTCACTGAAGTCCCATTTCATAATTGTTTTTTCTGTTGACTTCATGCTTTGATCAAATAACTCACCATTGTTTTCTATTCAGCATTTCAGTCCTACTTTATATTCAGGTAGCCAAGTTCAATTTGGAGCTCAAAGCAGCTCATGCTGGGTTGAAAGCAAACATGTCATGCTGTGTGGGAAGCAGGTACTCACCTTCTTCCGGGCAGAAAGCGTGGTTCAGAGTCTGTAGCGCTCGAGGGACCTGGGGTGGGGAGAGGCCTTTCCTTCTGTCCCCCATGCTTGTCACATCTGACTTGTTCAGGATTGGCTGACTGATGGGACGGAGGTTCAGGGAAATTGGGTGACGTGCTGAGCTCAGACCCTCAAAGGCAGGTTGATTTTGCCATAATTTCCATCAGAGGCTGTAGTTAGCTGTCAACATGGACAATCCTTGTAACTTGCACTTTCCCCCTCTAGAACAGCAGAGTTTTTGTTTTGATTTTTTGCAGGACAACAAAGCTGAGCTGGACTTTCAAATACTCATCTAATCCAGGCCTCTGCTTTCCACTGAGCGGGGAAGACAAGCAGTTATTTGTCTCCTTCTTCAAACTCCCCACAGAGGAAAATTCTGCCCCTCACTTGTTCCACTGTGGAATGTGATTTTTCACTGACAGCTCTAGACTACAGTTTTCATAAATGCAGTCCTTACATATTTTGTTTATGATAGATTTACTTACTTTAATCATATTTAATAAAATAATTATTTTAAACTTCAACCTTTCAGAAAACTTGAATGGGACTTAATATCTGGTCTTCCGTGGGGTTCTTGGTGCCACTCAGCGTACCTGTGACTCAGTATTTCTTAACCTTTTAAACCCAAAGGCCTTTGTTAAGCAGTCTCTTACTCCTTTCCCTCTGGTAACTTTTGCTGTCCCTTTCTCCCCTATCACCCATGTGTGTCCCCAGTTAGGATTTGGTGAATTTTCTGTGTGTCTTCCCCAGTCTAGAAGATTTTTCTAAAAGTTTTATTGAGCTATAATCCATACATCTTACAATTCACCATTTAAAGTGTCCAGTCCATTGGGTTTTGATACAGTAACATTATATGGGAGCTCTGGTGGTGTTCTAAAATTCAATGTGTTCTAATATTGTAGTGATGGTGTGTAATATGTTGTTGTTGTGTGCCGTTGAGTCGTACCCTTCCTTGGGAGGTGGTATCACTACGGAAGTAGATTGCCCAACCTTCCTTCTGAGGGAGGCATTTGGCTGCTAGCCAGAAGGCTGGTGGTTCAAACCCACTAGCCACTCCTCAGAAGGAAAGCTGGGCAATCTACTTCCGTAGTGATATTGCCTCAGAAACCCAACAAGGGGTCACTATGAGTCGGGTTCGACTCGAAGGCAGTGAGTTTGGTTTTAGGAGTTCTGGTAGTGTAGTGCCTAAGGCACTTGACTGCTAACCAGAAGGCTGGTGATTCAAACCCACCAGCCACTCCTCAGAAGGAAGGTTGGGGGATCTTCTTCCGTAGTGATACCGCCTCCCAAGAAGGGGTTGTTATGAGTCGGGTATGACTCGACAGCACACAACAACAACAACAGATTATACACCATCACTACAATTTCAGAACATATTCATCACCTCAAAAAGAGCCATCACTCCCCCCAAACTCCCCAGACCCCCCAGCACTAAGCAATCACTAATCTACTTGTTTGTCTCTATAGAATTTGCCCATTGTGGGTATTTCATAAAAATAGAATCATACAATATGTGACCTTATGTGATTGGCTTCTTTCACTCAGCATCGTGTTTTCAGGCTCATCCATCTTGTAGCATCATCAGCATTTATGACTGGGTAATATTCCATTGTATGCTTATAGCACATGTTGTTTATTCATTCATCAGTTGATGAGCATTTGGAGGTGGTCTCCATCTTTTGGTTATTATGACTGATGCTGTTACAAACATTCGTGTTGTGTTTTTGTGTGGGCATATATTTTCATTTCTCTTGGGTGTACACATAGAGATGGAATTGCTGGGTCACATGATTGTTCTCCAAAGTCACTGCACATTTTACGGTCCCACCAACAGTGTATCAGGGGTCTAGTTGCTTCACATCTTGGCCAACACTTGTTATTATCTCTCTTTGTGGTTCTAGCCATCCTAGTGGGTGTGAAGTGACATGATGTGGTTTTGATTTGCATTTCCCTGATGACTAATGATGTTGAGCAATGTTTCATGTGCTTATTGGCCATTTGTTTATCTTCCTGAAGAAAAGTCTATTCAGACCCTTTGCCTATTTTTATATTGGGTTATTTGTTCTTTCATTGTTGAGCTGAAAGAGTGCTTTAAATATTTGAGATCCAAAATTCCTAATCGGATTTATGATCTACAAATGTTTTCTCCCAATTTGTGGATTGTCTTCATTTTCTGGGTAGTGTCCTTGAAATGCAAGTTTCTACTTTTGATGGAGGTCCAATTTATCTATTTTTTTCTTTTATAAGACTGTTATCTATAGGACATGCTATGAAAATATTAAGTATATTTGCATCTTGCAAATGTAAATGAAAATATAAAAAACATGATGTGTAAACGTGGTACCCTTCCCCAGGAACCCGCGATGGGGTGGGATCTCACTCCCTCAGGAAGCTTGGCTTAGTGGGTTTCACCTCAGTGTCGCCTTCATGGGTGTCAGTCATTTTGAACACTCTTCAGTGATTTGATTGCTCCTAACTGGAGAGTTCTGAACTTCACAGGGAACTGACAATAAAATCCTAACCAACATTAAATAAAAGCTGAGAGGTGATGTTTTGTAGACTTTATTGCTGTCCCCATCTTTCATATATTGAAATGTAAAAATAACTTCCTGATCATTTCCCCGTATTCTACCTGTATGTTCCATTTATGCAGAAGAACAAGCCTTCCACCTGGATGGTCACATTGAAGGTGCTGATGAAGGTGGTGCTTTCATGTGGCTCTTCTTTCTTCCTCCTCCAACAGGTATGGCAGATCCCGGAAAATGGACTCACCCTTTCCCTGACGGAACCTGTGGTGATCCTAGAAGGCCACTCGAAGAGGGTGGGCATCGTGGCCTGGCACCCGACCGCTCGCAATGTGCTTCTCAGCGCAGGTAGGAGCTGAGTCTGCAGCCATGGGAGATCCCCTGTCCCCTTGCCATCACTTCTCCCAGGCCTGTGTGTGGAGGGGAGCAGCAGGTGAATTTTGACTGTGACCTATTACACTCTGTGCACTGTACAATGCTTGAAACAGGTCATAGGAAACCACGATGAGGTACAGTGGTCCCCAGCCAGAGCATGTGCACACGTGTGTATGTACGTTCTGTAAGCCACATTGACAATGCAGCAAGGCTTGCTGTGCTTGGAAAAGTGCACAGATGCATACTTTTTTCCTATAATTTTAGCAGGTTGGTGGTTCTGTCTAGAACCCACCCTCACGAAAGTTTTGGTTATTCCTAACGTAAGGAACACTTGGCTGGGAGCCAGCAATTTTGGGTTCCCACCCAGGTGTTGTTGCTGGCACCTCTGAGGTGGTCCTTTTAGGCATATATCTTCCTTCCTTTTAATAAAAAAAATTTCCTTTTTCTGTGTATACAAGTAGTCCATGTGTTTTATAGAGAATACATTTAAACAAAAGGAATACATTAAATCAGATGTTAGTCCACTGGCCAGAGGGAGCACCAAGGTGTTTGATGTTTCCAGAAGGTATTTGTAGATGTGAATGTTACGCACAGAGATGGGTGAATTCACTTCACTCGACCTGTTTTCTACGTTTAGTGGTAGACCGAGACTTTCCACTGGCCGTGAAATGTCCTTCCTACAGTATGTTTAGTGATTGAATAGTGGTCCGTCATCTGGATGTTTCTTTCATCAGTTGTCTATTTTGGGGCATTGAAGCGGTTTCTGAGTTCTCACTCTTACAGACAGTCCTGCAGTGAGCCCTTGTGGCCGAGTCCTTGTGTTCTTGCTGGTTTCCCACTTCAGTACTTTTCCACCTTCTGCCTCAATAGCATTCTTTTCCTTTGTCGAAAATTTAAGATGTTATTTTCTTTTCTAAAAGCAATACAAAGGGCACAGAGAAGTTTGTGGGCTGATGGAGACCTCTCTATCTTGGACCTGGTGGTGGTTATGTCAGTACACATACTTGTCAAAACTTAGGAATGAACATTTGAAATGGGTACATTGTATTCTATGTAAATTACACATAAAAAAAAGTTGATTTCGTTTTTAAAAAGTGTTGCTGATGTTAGTGGTAGAATTTTGAAAGGTCTTTTCCCTCACTGGTGAAAGGGGGAGGGTAGTTAGTTTTTAACTGGTTAATAGAGGGTGTTTTATGATTTATAGTGTATCAAAAAAATGAATGCCAAGGACTCCTTTTCAAAAAAGGCAGTATACATGATTCTGGTTTTTTTGTTTTTGTTTCTAAAAATCACCCTCCAGTTTTTTCCCAGATCCTCAGTCTGATAAGGAGAGAGAAAATTCCAGAAGTGGAATTCCATCATGGAAAACTTCCTGCCACCCTTCTCATCTAGGTCAGGCATAGATGTCGTCAGCAGACTGATGCCCACTCTGCCTTTTAGAAGCAAAGGAGAAGGGCTGATTGCAGTGCTCTGCCTATTGTAAGACTCTAGGAGCAGCCGCCGTGGCTGGGGTGACCTGTGTGCCTCTGATCACCAAACAGGGGAGAGCTGAGCTCCACCTTTCCATACGATTGTACACTTTCTTCCTGAGCCCTTAGCTACCTCGTGTCCTGGGTGTGGGTGGCTCATTTTTCTAAAGAGCTGACAAAATTGGCTCATTGTGAACAATTCACCTCCAGATGCCCTCCCCTTGTTGGGCTTCATCCTTAAGCTAATGTCCGGGGAGCAGGAGAAGGAACTGCAGGCTTGAGTGTAAACAATTTACATGCTCGCTGCTGCCCAAAACATTGGTAATTCGAGTCCTCCCAGAGACACTTGAGAAGGAAGGCCTGGTGCTCCATCTCCAAAACATGGCCCATCGGAAGCCTGCTGGAGCACAGCAAGGGCTGCGTGAGTCACAGCACACCTGGCAGCAGCTAGTTGGGGGTTTTGCTTTGGGAGCTTAGGGCCCAGCCTTGAAGGGAAGAGATGGAAAGATAGGGTTAATGGTCTGAGTGACTGTAGCCGAGATTACGAGATTAGGTAGGTTGTGGGCTCTCTAGGTTGTGGGCTCTCAGGGATCAGCTTCTGGATCCATGGGTTGACTTGATTGCAGTTTGGCATTCTCACCGCAAACAGCCCAGTCTTGGCCTGTTTTTCTCTCCTTTTAAAGATAGTGATCTGTTGGGGGTGAATTTTCAGGCCAGTCCTTGTATTTCCCTCCCATTTATTATAATTTACCACACGTGAATCCAAGGCCCTGTTTTACAGTGTCACTGATTTGAATAACCTGCCATGCAAAGCTTGTGTTTAGTGTCCTAAACAGTTACTTAAATTCTTTATTTTTAATTACTCTTGAAAATAAGTAAGCTGTTTGCAGTCTGATGCTTGTTTGCCTCACAGTCAATGTGGCCATTCAAGTCTTTAGGAAAAAAATATTCTACTTTGGGATAGTTCTTTCTTTTTGTTTGTTTTATGTGAACCCAAACTTAAGCTGTATTTTTGCTTTAACACTTCTGTTTCTTTTGCAAGAATCTCTTTTTGCCTTGTCATGTTAGTTTTTAAAACCCATTAGGTAGGTGCTGAAGACCTCTGGTTGCATAATGGTTAAAGCATTTGGCTGCTAACTTAAAGGTCAGTGGTTCAAACCCACCAGTCGTTCCATGGAAGAAGGATGAGGCAGTGTACTTCCATTGAGATTTACAGCCTAGGAAACCCTATGGGGGCAGCTCTACTTTGTCCCACAGGGTCACGATGAGTCGGAATCAACTTGATGGTCATGGATTTGGTAGATAGGTGCCGCTTATAATCAGCACTCCTTTTTTATCAGTCTCTTTCTGTATATATGTACACACACACACACACACACACACTCGTTGTTGTACATCATTGAGTTGATTCTAACTTACAGAAACCCTATAGTGCCTAAGGCATTTGACTGCTAACCAGAAGGCTAGCAGTTCAGACCCACTAGCTACTCCTCAGAAGGAAGGTTGGGCAATCTACTTCCGTAGAAATACCACCTCAGAAACCCAAGGAGGGGTCGCTATGAGTCAAATTGACTCAATGGCATTGAGTTTATGGGACAGAGTAGAACTGGCCCATAGGGTTTCTTAGCCTGAAATCTTTATTGGAACAGATCACCAAGTCTTTTCACCCATGGAGCGGCTGGCTGATGGGTTCAAATTGCCAGGCTTTTGGTTAGCAGCCGAGCGCTTAACCGTTGCACCACCAGGGCTCCTTCATACATACATATCCTCCATTTTAGTGTTCTTAGGCTGCTGTTTTACAGGTGCTTCTAATCATAAAGGGGCATGGCTTTGCTTGTTTCCAGGCTGTGATAATGCCATCATCATCTGGAATGTGGGGACCGGGGAAGCCCTCATCAACTTGGATGATATGCACTCGGACATGATATACAACGTCAGCTGGAACCGCAACGGCAGTCTGATCTGCACGGCTTCCAAAGACAAGAAAGTGAGAGTCATTGATCCCAGGAAACAGGAGCTCGTTGCAGTGAGTATTTGTATTTGTGGCACATAATGAGTGTGCCCCTCTGCTTCTAAGGCGGGCCACAGAGGTGCACTTCTGGTGGTGGACGCTTGCCATGTGCAAATGCCAGTCTGAAATGAGAAAGAAAGGATGGTTTAGTGTTCTGGTTACCTAGTGCTGCTCTGACAAGAATATACCTCAAATGGGATGGCCTTAAAAAACAGGAGTTTATTCTTACAATTTGGAGGCTTTAAGTCCAAGTTCAGAGTGCCAAGCTCTGGGGGCTGGGTGAAAGCCCCTCACCCTTGGGCTTTAGCCCTGCGTCCAGCTCCTGGCCCACTGAAGCTAGAGGCTTTTCTTCACTCAGACAGCTGCTGGCTGCTGAGGCTGAGAAGCCCCAAGGTTGACAAGTAAAAAGGCACAGTCCAGATGTTACCGAACCTCACAGCAGACCGTTAATTCAAGTTCATTGTAAGTCCCAAGGTCAGCAAAGCATGACAGGCTGTTGAACAATGACATGGCTATATGCAGGGTCCAAGTGTGCCATAAGCTAAAGACCATTCCCAAGGCTTCTCCTTATATACAGGAAGCAGACCACATCCCAAAGGCAGGTACTCAGCTGCTTGTGGTAGATCCCACCATGGAGCTGATTGCCAGTCTCATCATGGGGAATAACTACCACCAACTGCCCAGCCACTCCCCCAGGCCTAGCCATGTTGACACACAAACATAACTATCACAATTCCACCGCTTGTCAACTTGGCATCTGTACAGATCTCCTCGACTGGGTGGCTCTAGTCCCCTAGTTCCTCTAAATGGTGACCTCACCCCCTTGGCCTGGCAGGCCGTTCCTCTCCCTCTTGGGCATGGCAGCCCCGCCCCCTCACTCTTGGGCAGCGGCTATGGCTCCATCCCACTGGCTCACATAAACGAGCAGCCCCACACTCCAGAACCAAGTTGGTGAAGGTCTGGCTCTTTGAAACCTAGGGGGCTGTGGTGGTTCCACCCCCAAAGGCATGGTCCTACCCTTTCAGCCTCTGCTTCCATTTCCTTGGTCTCCGCTTCTGCTGATTAATGCTGAAGGCAACCCACTCTGCTGGAAAACCCTGCCCAAAAAGCACTCGGCTTTCTTGCTCCATGGGCCGGCCAACCTGCTACTCCATTTCATGCCGGTCTTTTCTACCAATTAATGCCCAAAGGCAACCCACTCTGCCAGTAAGCTGCCTAACCAAAGGCATCAAGCTTTCTCCTCCGTGGCCTGGTAAGGCTGTTGCTGTCTCATGCCGGTTTTCTTGGCTCTGCTCCTGCCGTCTGTCATGCCGTATGCTGGGGTCTCTCTGCCAGGGTCTCGGGTCAAGGACACACTCCACTCCTGTTTCCACATTTTAGGTATCTGTCAGAGCAGTACCCTACTCTCTCGGTACCAAATTCTGTTCTGGTTACCTACTGCCACTCTGACAAGAATATACCACACATGGGATGCCTTAAACAAACAGGAGTTTATTCTTACAATTTGGAGGCTTTAAGTCCAAGTTCAAAGTGCCAAGCTCTGAGGGCTGGGTGAAAGCCTCCCGGCCCACTGGAGCTAGTGGCTTTTCTTCACTCAGACAGCTGCTGGCTTCTGAGGCTGCCAAGCCCAAGGTTGACAAGTAAAAAGGCACAGTCCTGATGTTACCAAACCACACGGCAGGCTGTTAATTCAAGTTCATTGTAAGTCCCAAGGTCAGCAGAGCATGGCAGGCTGCTGAACAATGACATGGGTACATGCAGTGTCCAAGCATGCTGTAAGCTAGAGACTGTTCCCAAAGCTGCTGCTTGTATACAGGAAGCAGACCAAATCCCAAATTCTCAGCTGCTTGTGGTAGATCCCACCATGGAGCTGATTGTCAGTCTCATCATGGGGAATAACTACCACCAGCTGCCCAGCCAAGTTGACACACAAACGTAACCACCATATTTGGTGTCTGCCTTTCTCCCCAGTCGCGCTTCCCTTCAGGGTTGCATGCTTTCGGTTTTTGCTTAAGTCTT